CTAGCGGGTGAGGACCGAGAAAAGGACGAGCCCGTCTCGGATCCCTCCGCTAAATCCACTTGCGTTCCCCATGACAACAGTTTACGCTGCGCCTCGGCGACAGCGGGACCGCGAGCCTGGCCGCTCTCATCAAATACGGCGAGCAACTCGCAGTCATGACAATCAGCTCCCTCGAGAGCTGACCGTGCACACAGATCGTGTGTATCCCCCGCCGCCAGATTTCGTGGGCAGAGAGGAACACAACGTTTGTAATGCCGTTCGCTCGCCATAGACTTAGACTTTGCTTTTTTTGACATGATATGAATGCTTGTGCTGACAGACAACAATAAATAGGACGTGTATAGCGCTAAATAGCGCTTCTGAAGAGCAGAAGCTGGCTTGCGCTCTGCCGGGTGCGCTTTAATACTTCCTGGTGCTTACGTCACCCCGCTCATGAAGTCTCGCTGCTCCATTGGGTGACATTTCAGCACTTGACAAACGAATAGCGACTCCTAAGTAGCACTTAAAGCATGGTTACGTGCGATTGTGTTAAGTGCATTTTTGGGAAACGCACGTGAAACAATAACGAACAATCGTAAAATGACTCGTAGAAAATTATCTTAAGCTCTAAGATCAATCGTTATCGAGAAACGCAGCCCAGCACATTGTAGCACTGCGCATGTCACCATTTAGGGCAGGGCATATTCTCTCCGTCATATCACAGAGCAATACTGACACGAGCAGTCGGTCTACTGTTCATTTCAAACAACCAATATCTAAAATATTATGAAAAATTCTATATGGTTTAGCAACTCTATACCGTGAACAGTAAAGTGTTACATCACCTGTCCAACCCATTACAAAAATGAAAATATTATTATAAAATTAAATTTCACTATAAATATGAACTGAAAATAAAGCAATTTAAACGGATCATGGACATGAATACACTCAAAGTCCTTCTATTGCGAAGACAAAATGTGTGATTGCACATAAAATAAGCTAAAGTAAACAGTATGAAATACACACCTGAAAAAAGCAAAAATTTGAAATTATGGAACTTAAGTTTACATGCTTTCAGTAATTTTCGACCACTGACAGTGTTTTTTAATGAAAAAAAAATAAGTTAATTTCAGCACCAACGCAATGAACAGCTCCCTGCAATCTGCGTTTCTTACAATACGATCAGACAATAAAAGCTGTCAAACAAAGTAGGCTACTGAAAAGGATTTTGTGCTGTAAAATAACTACTTTAAGGCATGCCATATTTCATAAATTACAACTATTAGGTTTAACAATATTAAAGCAAAACGGCAGCTGTAGCCTAATTAGAATGAATCTATTATTCTTACCTCTCCAGAACCTCTCCTCCTGCGATCTGGGATCACTAGAGTATTTCCATTACTGCCCGGGACTATAGTAGAGCCGATACTCATTCTGGGTCCAACTAACATGTACCGTTTGTCTCCAGATCTGTACTGGATGCTGTGACACAGAGTCCCGTCGTAATTTGTATCCTGTAAATACTTGGACGAATAGTCTGTCGATTTAGAGCACTGCATTACAATCAACACGATGATGCTGATGACAAAAAGCACTGAAACCGAGCCCAAAGTGATGATCAAATAAAATGTCACGTTGTTTTCCTCCTCGTCTTTTACTGCATTTTTAATATCAGAAGCTGCAAAAGCCTCTTTGGGCTCCACAACTTTGACAATCACAGTCGATGTTGCTGAGAGTGAAATGTTCCCATTGTCTTTGACCAGTATGAGCAGTTTATGTTGGGCCTCGTCTGTTTCTGTGAATAAGCGAAGGGTCCTTATCTGTCCTGTATAGCGGTCTAAACCAAAGAGACTGTGGTCACTAACTTCCTGCAGTGAGAATAATAACCAGCCGTTGTATCCTATATCTGCGTCATAGGCTCTGACTTTAGTCACCAAATGACCTGCGTTCACATTACGGGGAATCTCTTCCACACCCTCAGCAGAACCGTTAGCGCTGACTGGATATAAGATCACTGGAACGTTGTCGTTCTGATCCAGAATAAACACGTTCACTGTCACGTTACTGCTCAGAGACGGAGTTCCAGAGTCTGTAGCGAGCACATGGAAGAGGGAAGTTTTTAATGTTTCAAAGTCAAAGCTTTTCAGCGAATAAACAACACCTGTCTCGGAATTTATATTCAAAAAAGATGACAAATCATTCTGTGTGCCATCACCTCTAATTATGTGATAGGATATCACGGCATTTTCAGCTGTGTCTCGATCAGAGGCGCTTACTGAAATTATGGACGAACCGGCTGCATTATTTTCCATTAAATATAGATTTAGAGGATTTAATAAAAATTCCGGCGCATTATCATTCACATCAGAAATCTGAACGCTTAGAGTGGTCGATGCAGTCAAAGACGGCTGTCCTAAATCAGAGGCAGTTATTGTAATGTCATATTGTGAATTCGTCTCTCTATCTAACCGAACTTTTGTTACTAAAGAGTACATATTGTCTTTGAAAGAAGGCTTTAGTTCAAAGGGAATATTTTTGTTTAACTGACAAATGACTTTACCATTGATCCCTGCGTCTTTATCAATCACACTGATGAGAGAAATTACCGTTCCAGGTTTAGAATCTTCAGGGATGTTCTTAGAAAGTGATGTAATCTCAATCTCAGGCCGGTTGTCATTCACATCAATAATTTTAATAACAACTCTACAGTTTGCAGACATTGGTGGATGTCCCTTATCTGATGCCTGAATATCGAGTTTATAAACTTCTGCATCTTCAAAATCAACTTTCCCCTTTACACGTATTTCACCTGTGACCTGATCGAGCTCAAAAACCTCATGCACTTTGCTATTTAATGTTGCAAAACTGTATTCGATATCGCTATTCGGGCCCTCATCCATATCAGTTGCATTCACTCGGATAACCACAGTGCCAGTAATACAATTCTCCTGTAATGTCACAGAGTATGACTCTCGACTAAACACAGGGTGATTATCGTTTATATCTAGAACAGTAATAGTAATGTTAAGCGTGCCAGATCTCGGAGGATTCCCTCCGTCAACTGCTGTTAAAAGCAGCTTGTATGTAGTTGTAATCTCCCTATCAACAGCCTTCTTCAGTACTAAAAATGGCATTTTATCCTCATCACTCTCTCTAACTCGAATTTCAAAATGATCATTAGGACTTAACTTATAGGACCGGATCGAATTCGTTCCAGAATCTGGATCTCCGGCAGCCTGTAACTGATAAGCAGCGCCAGGGAGCGTATTTTCAGAAATTCGCAAGCGCTGCTCTTTATCAGGAAAACTAGGAGAATGGTCGTTGATATCTGATATTTCCACTTCTACATAGTGGATCTCGAGTGGATTTTCAATAACAGTTTTTAAATTTACCATGCAAACACCGCTGCCAGCACACACAGACTCTCTGTCGATTTTCTTATGAACGTACAAAACGCCATTTTCCTGATTTATCTGAAAAAGCTCCTCCTTAGATCCAGAAACGATTCGAAACTGCCTGTCCACCAAACTACTTACTTCAAGACCCAAACCTTTAGCAACATTTCCCACAGCGGTTCCTTCTTTCACTTCTTCTGGAATCGAATATCTTATCTGAGCTGAGACTTGCTGTCCGATGCCAAGAAGAAAAGAAATACACGAAGCAATCCAGTAGTACTCCCATCTGCGCCTTTGTCCTCCAGCTTCCATCACGAGTGATTAGCAAACGGTTTATCTAGGAAATGTATATACTCTCGATTATTAGAGGTCGTAATCGAATGTTTATAGCAAGCATATAATGAGCAAATAAGCAAATATGAAGTCAGTCTTTAGGTAACGTCAGTGCAGCATATTGTTCATGCATCCCGAGCCTTTCCAGTGTGTGTGAAAAACAATACAGCCCTACTCGCGTCATCATCAGGGGCAGGACTCAATATTCTGAACAAATCTTGGAGCAACACCGACACCAAGTGGTTTAAAATACTTGAAAACATTTTAAAAAAGCATCACTGTAAGTTGTACAAAACTGATAAAATATTAACTTTACAAGAATATAAACTCTACAAGAGGTACATATTTAAATCTACGTTAAGCAGATTTGTTTACAACATTTAGCAATTTTTCAGGACTGACATTGATGCTTTTTAAAATATTTTCGGGCCTTAATGAAAAAAAAAACATTCCTAATTAACTGCATTTAGTTTCAGCACCTGCGAAGTGAACAGCTCCCTGAAAGCTGTGGTTACTTAAAACACAATCAGACAAAGTTGTCAAATAAAGTACTGAACAGAGTTTTGCGCTATGATATCATAAGTGTGTAAAAAAAAAACAATTTAGAATCATAACTATAGCGTATGAACACAACAAAGCAAAACAATGACTGTTAGGAGAATTAATCAGCCAGTCTTACCTCCCCAGAACCTCTCCTCCTGCGATCTGGGATCACTCACCCTCAGCAGAACCGTTAGCGCTGACTGGATATAAGATCACTGGAACGTTGTCGTTCTGATCCAGAATAAACACGTTCACTGTCACGTTACTGCTCAGAGACGGAGTTCCAGAGTCTGTAGCGAGCACATGGAAGTGGGAAGTTTTTAATGTTTCAAAGTCAAAGCTTTTCAGCGAATAAACAATACCAGTCTCGGAATTTATATTTAAGAAAGATGACAAATCATTCTGTGTGCCATCACCTCTAATTATGTGATAGGATATGACGGCATTTTCAGCTGTGTCTCGATCAGAGGCGCTTACAGAAATTATGGACGAACCGGCTGCATTGTTTTCCATTAAGTAGAGATCTAGAGGATTTATAAAAAATTCCGGAGCATTATCATTCACATCAGAAATCTGAACGCTTAGAGTGGTCGATGCAGTCAAAGACGGCTGCCCTAAATCAGAGGCAGTTATTGTAATTTCATATTGTGAGTTAGTCTCTCTATCTAACCGATCTTTTGTTACTAAAGAGTACATATTGTCTTTGAAAGAAGGCTTTAGCTCAAAGGGAATATTTTTGTTTAACTGACAAATGACTTTACCATTGATCCGTGCGTCTTTATCAATCACACTGATGAGAGAAATTACCGTTCCAGGTTTAGAATCTTCAGGGATGTTCTTAGAAAGTGATGTAATCTCAATCTCAGGCAGGTTGTCATTCACATCAATAATCTTAATAACAACTCTACAGTTTGCAGACATTGGTAGATGTCCCTTATCTGAGGCTTGAATATCGAGTTTATAAACTTCTGTATCTTCAAAATCCACTTCCCCCTTTACACGTATTTCACCGGTGACCTGATCGAGCTCAAAAACCTCATGCACTTTGCTGTTTAACGTTGCAAAATTGTATTCGATATCGCTATTAGAGCCCTCATCCATATCAGTTGCATTTACTCGAGAAACCACAGTGCCAATAGCAGAGTTCTCGTGCAATGTCAAAGAATATGTCTCTCGACTAAATACAGGGCGATTATCATTTATGTCTAGAATGGTAATTGTAATGTTAAGAGCGCCAGATCTCGGAGGATTCCCTCCGTCAACTGCTGTTAAAAGCAGCTTGTATGTGGTTGTAATCTCCCTATCAACAGCCTTCTTAAGGACTAAAAATGGCATTTTATCCTCATCACTCTCTCTAACTCGAATTTCAAAATGATCATTAGGACTTAACTTATAAGACCGGACCGAATTTGTTCCAGAATCGGGATCTCCGGCAGCCTGTAACTGATAATCAGCACCAGGGAGCGTATTTTCAGAAATTCTGAGACGCTGCTCTTTTTCAGGAAAACTAGGGGAATGATCGTTTATATCTGATATTTCTACTTCTACATAATGGATCTCGAGTGGATTTTCAATAACGGTTTTTAAATTGACCATGCAAACACCGCTGCCAGCACATACAGACTCTCTGTCGATTTTCTTATGAACGTACAAAACGCCTTTTTCCTGATTTATCTGAAAAAGCTCCTCCTTAGATCCAGAAACGATTCGAAACTGCCTGTCCACCAAGCTACTTACTTCAAGACCCAAATCCTTTGCGATATTTCCGACTGCGGTTCCTTCTTTTATTTCTTCTGGAACTGAATATCTTATCTGAGCTGAGACTTGCTGTCCGATGCCAAGAAGAAAAGAAATACACGAAGCAATCCAGTAGTACTCCCATCTGCGTCTTTGTCCTCCAGCTTCCATCACGAGTGATTAGCAAACAGTTTCTCTAGGATCAAATGTTTATATCCTCGATTATTAGAAGTCGTAGTTGGGTGTTTATGGCAAGTACATAATGAGAAAATAAGAAAATACGTAATTGGTCTTTTTAAGCACTGTCAGTACGTTCATGCATACAAAGCCTTTTCAGTGTGTGTTAAAAAACAACAACAAAGCCCTACTCGCGTCATCATCAGGGGCAGGGCTCAATATTCTGAAAAAATCTTGGAGCAACACCGACACCAAGTGTTTCAAAGCACTTGAAAATATTTTGAAATAAACCACTGTCAGTCATAAAAACACTGAAAAGATGTCAACAACTTAACATAAGAGAAGAATATTTAAGTGTACAACTATTCAGTGTTTTTGATTACTAACATTGGTGCGTTTTAAAATGTTTTTGATAACATGCAACAACAAAAAAAGAAGCAATTTAAGCATACAATTTTATCATACAAATTATGTACTTTACATATTCTGAAGGATTTGCGTCGAATTTCAGCACCAACGCAGCGAACAGCTGCCTGTAAGCTGTGGATACATACAATACGATCAGAAAATCAAAAATGTCAAAGTGACGTTTACTACTTAACGAAACTTTGCGCTATGTAAGTAAAGTAAGCAAAAACACACCATTTTGTATCACGCAATCACGCTGATTGTAATTAGAATGAATCTGCTATTCTTACCTCTCCAGAACCTCTCCTCCTGCGATCTGGGATCACTAGAGTATTTCCATTACTGCCAGGGACTATAGTAGAGCCGATACTCATTCTGGGTCCAACTAACATGTACCGTTTGTCTCCAGATCTGTACTGGATGCTGTGACACAGAGTCCCGTCGTAATTTGTATCCTGTAAATACTTGGACGAATAGTCTGTCGATTTAGAGCACTGCATTACAATCAACACGATGATGCTGATGACAAAAAACAAAGAAACCGAGCCCAAAGTGATGATCAAATAAAATGTCACGTTGTTTTCCTCCTCGTCTTTTACTGCGTTTTTCACATCAGAAGCTGCAAAAGCCTCTTTGGGCTCCACAACTTTGACAATCACAGTCGCTGTTGCTGAGAGTGAAACGTTCCCATTGTCTTTGACCAGTATGAGCAGTTTATGCTGGGCCTCGTCTGTTTCTGTGAATGAGCGAAGGGTCCTTATCTGTCCTGTATAGCGGTCCAAACCAAAGAGACTGTGGTCACTAACTTCCTGCAGTGAAAATAATAACCAGCCGTTGTATCCTATATCTGCGTCATAGGCTCTGACTTTAGTCACCAAATGACCTGCGTTCACATTACGGGGAATCTCTTCCACACCCTCAGCAGAACCGTTAGCGCTGACTGGATATAAGATCACTGGAACGTTGTCGTTCTGATCCAGAATAAACACGTTCACTGTCACGTTACTGCTCAGAGACGGAGTTCCAGAGTCTGTAGC